TTTGTTCTGCCAAGACCACATCTGCCCCGGCCTCCTCCTCCTCCTCCTCCCTGTCACTCGTTCCTCCTCCTCAGTCTCTCTCTTAAGTGCCGAGCGGCTCTGAAACAGGCCTCTGGTTTACATCAAGTGTTCCTAACGACCTCACGTATATCATGAAACGCCTGATGCATCACTCCCCTCTTCAGACGGACACAGAGGTAAAACAAATGACTTCTACGCATTTCCAAGCAGTCCGTTTTACTTCTTTAAATTCAGGTAATAAATGTAAGAAAGTCAACTAGATGCTATGAGAAATTAAGAGAGAATTAAGAATCATCTGCATAGAGTCATCAATTTGACCCTGACAGACGTGATCTCTTTAAGTGTTTTCAGCTGTATAGTAACGATCAACTATAGAAGCAGTTCATCAATCTGCTAATAGTTTCAGCTTTAGTGAAAGAGTGCATTAGCATTGACATTAAACTGTCTTTAGTCAGTGTGCTTTTGTAGGGCTTTTAAAGTTGACCTTGTGCACTTAACTCATTCTGTGTTGAATATGGTTAATGCTTGTTATAATGAACAGTTCAAACAAATTACTTTTTAAGTCTGTGACCCAAAATTAGAGCTTGTGGACAGATCTGTGGTTGCACATGTGATGGGTCTTGGGACATGGTGAGTGGTGGTCAGTGCACAGGGCAAAAGATGAGTGGCCTCATTTAGACGGAGATTTATGAGCTGGGCTGATGGCTGGGACACGTCTCTGCCTCCTGTGTAGCAGACCCACATGAGCTGACCTTTAGAGGGGCTTTTAAGCGGGTGCACAGGGGCCCCATTAAGATCCTCACATTTACCTTTAGCAGGGAAACACCTTGTGACACAAAAGCGCACATCGTAGAACATTGGGTTACGATCAAGCGGCAAACTCTGGGGCAGAGCCGGGAAGCCCATAAAGAAGTGCAACAAACTGCACTTCATCTATTGGCCGGGGAGTGAATTTTTTTATAACGCACCCCTTTTAGTTATATTAGGTCGTAACGTTTTTGCATAAATTAGGGCGTGGTCACTTTGATGGACAGGTCTCTGCGGTGACTGCTGCTTCTAGCTTTCTGTCCCTCTGCTAGCTCCGTTAGCTCTGTTAGCTCCTGGATGCTACAGGGGCTCAGCTGCGAGGCTGATCCGGGGAACACAACTTGAACTCGGACGTGTTTGTTGTGTCGGTGCCTGGTGGAGTATTCTTCATTTAAATATCAGACTTATCGTATGCCGCCTCGTCTCCGCCTATTTGCCCTTATTTGAATCAGGCTAGAGCAGGCAGCGGCCGACTCCGCCTACTAAGGGCTTCTCAGCAACTCTGCAGAAACCATCAGAAACCTATGGGTGACGTCACGGACACTACGTCCATTTATAGGCCTACAGTCTATGGTTGGAATATGGTAATTTAATACTCTTGTAAGGGTGAACATTTAAACAAGCATTTAAGAGAAGAATATTTTCTGTTCTTTCTCTGCTACTGACTGACAGGATCTGCCGGAGATGTTTTAGGAAATAATTATCAATTATCTGCTGCTTTTCTGCCGTCTGAACATTTTAACTACCTCGTTCCTCCCGAAGCGAAGTCACTGGCATATGTGGAAGCTTTAATGTAGGCATCAAGGGATATGTATTTTGAAGTTCAACACATGACCTGACTGCATCCCGTGTGCATGCTGTGCGCGGAAAACACTTGAAGCCAAACCAGAATGAACACATCTTAGACTTCCCAGCAAAGGAGACCACGACTGTGAGTCGATGCCTCAGAATTAAACCGAGTTCTAAAGCTTTAAACTGAAATAATACATAAAAACAGTTTGACATAGATGTTTGACGTCTTTGGTTTGCCTGCAGCCACTGAGAACAAAACTAAAGGTGCTTATTGACGGTAGAAGTCAAACCTTTGTGTTCAGTCGATGCACAACAAAGGCTGTGCTGAGTATAAATGCAAGAGGAAGGTAGTGCTACCAGAAAAGGTGTGAAGGACACGCATTTGCATTTTACTAGAGCTAAGCTAAAGCTGTGAGGGTCATATTTCACCGCATCTGTCATTCCCTCTGCATCATATGTTTGAAATCAGTTTTACACTTTGAGTGAGAACGCTGCTCTCTCGCTGTGAAATCTGTTGGTATCCGTACTGAGGGGGAATTGAGTTTGGAGAGAGAGGCGAGATGCAAGTGTTCATTTTAGAGTAGGTGTGAACATTAAATTGACTAAAACTACTTTTTATAAATGTCCAGTATTTTGGGCTTTCGAGGTCAAAATGACACACCACCAATTCTGAAAGAGGGATTTTGTAACGTCTGATTAAACAGCAACCACTATGGTGACAAGTTTGAAATACAACACCCAGCATTGTCGAGAAAACAGCACAATCAATTTCTAAGTTTTCCCAAAAATATATCACAACTGACAATACCAGATCATAAAGGGTTGCATAGCCTCATGATTTGAAGAATGGTACAGTTTATCGTTTAGTATCTCTTATTTCCGTTTCAATAGAAACAAACGGTTTGTGTCCACATTTTCTTGGTCTCGCTTAAAGGTCTGGAAATAACCGTTACTGACCAAATAAAGATATCATGTAGGAGGGACTGTATCTCAGCTGTGAGGACTAATTTGCCCTCCTACTCTCTCCTGCATACTCAAGTCTATGACTGGATCGGAGACCTCTTCAGCACCCCAGTCTCATGCTGTCAGCATTGAAGAGGTGGAAGTGGTTTATTGAAATGATTTGTGGTCACTGAAGCCTGAGGCTATAGTTCATATGCAGAGCCCTGTGCCCTGGGTTGTATTGGAAGACGGCCCTGCAGCTGTTGATGCTACCTAACTTTTTTTTTACTTGTTCTTGTCACGCTGCCAACACAAAATGCACAGGGTATAATTGGCCATTGAGACCGTGGCTATCTCAAAGCAACAGCTTCACTTTCAGAATATCTCTTGCATAAAGCAGGGACAATCGAGTTATGGTTGAGTAGAACATTGGTTGAATTCATTCCTCTACTTATTGGAATGTATTATGCGTTTGCAGTTGTTACATTTTTTTATTTTAGGAACTATATACACCTGTTTTTAAAGGATAAATTATAACAGTATAGTCAGAGATGGTGTTTGTAAAATGTTTTCCTGCTTAATGTAAAAAGTTAATTTGCCAAATCGGGTTTCTTCCTCTTTTTTTGGACACGTTTGAAACTTACACACAATTATTGTCAATGCTAAACAATCACAAAACAATTATTATGATATGCCAAGCTTCCCAAAAGACTTACGTAAAAATACATTAAAAGAATAATGCATAATACGTTTCAATGTGTGTATATATTATGTTCCTCTAAAGGGTGGTATTCGTATAGATAGAATAAACAACGATAATAACCATTAGCGTCTTTCCACTGCACGGTATAAAGCGGTGTAGTTTAATGTGCTCCATAAAGTGACCCACGCATGTACCATTAACACCAAATAGCACTCCCAGCAATTCCATTACTTTTAAACCATACTTGCCCTCCTAACCTTCATTGATATCCACATGCTTGCACACACAAAAAAGAAAAAGATTCAAAGGTACATCTGTAGGAGACAGCTTTGCACACACACTGTTCGAGGTGAAACAGTACATTGTTTTAAAATACATCTGAGCTGTAAACACATACGCTCTGCATGAGCTGATTAATTCTGGCAGTGTCCCAGCAAGGAGCCCCCTAATAATGTAACACAATGTATTACTTACAGAAAGGTGCACGCTGATGAATCTTTTAAAGCCACGGAGGAAATTATTTAGCCAGACCAGCAGCAATAACCACACAGTATTTATGTACAGTGAGCCTCCTTTATGCCACACTAGGATGCAATGGAGATAAAAAGGGCTTAATGTGAGACCGTTATTCTTGCGCACTAGTGTAAGTCAAGTGTGTGTAAGTAACTTTGCTCACCCCGAGGGTAAAAGGGCATTGCAGCGTCAGAGAATGGGCTCTTGTCCCTTCAGTGCTTCTACTCTAACCAGGCATAAGACATTTGCCCTGACTGCTACCCACCCTTACACATGGTCACCACAAGTTAAATGACCAATTCCAATGTGTCGCTAGGGGCCGAATAACCATTCACATCACTGGAAACCTGAACATATGTGACATGCTCTTGAAAGAGTTCCAGGCATAAGGTTTGCCATTTGAACAGTAATCTTCGAAGGCAAGTTTGTGTGTGCTCCCGTGGGAAAATGTCTGTATGCTTTGTATGCGTCTGTCTCTGCTCGCGGGAGTGAGAGATGGGAAAAAATATGATGTGTAAAAGACGAGCAGCTCAACCATTTTTATTGAATCAACAAACAAACATGCCATGCAAATTGGAGAGATTGTCTGGTGCTCTATAAATATTTGGCCCTGTTACTGCTTGAAAAATCTCCATTTGTAGCACGCAGACGCTTACTGAAAGGTCAGTGGTTAGGTTTAAGTACACCCCCTCACAGTTCTCCTGTGGACTTTCAAACTCAACATACTGTACATACTGTACACACATCTGGTGAGGCTTGATTTCCCACATCACAGATATGAATCTGGGCATAGTACTGCAATAATGAAAGAGATAAAAGACATGCTGATTTGTATGTGTGCGTAATCCTTAATATCCACAGTAGTTGTGACCTTATTGCAGTTGAGCTGGATTTAAATTCACTTCACACTAAAGGTGGATGCCTTTTCACTTTGCCTCAGCAAAAGAGTAAGAATTGCAGGTACCACTAAATCTACATGTTTCAGAAATTACAGCAACAACAAACAAAGACAACAATAGATCATTAGGAGTGTTTGGCTAAAATTTGATTTCTAAAACTAGTCTGGCAGATACTTATACTGTTGATTCAAGAGAAAACAACGTGGCATTTAAAAGTATTCTTCTTTGGTTTAAAACAATTCGAAAGAATAGAACAAGAAGTGGAATGAAGGAAAAGAGAAAGAAACAGAAAACAACCCTGCAGGCAGTGTTATTATCACCAGATGGGTCAGTAATTACATTTTTAACCATCCGCAGATAATTTCATTTATTTTCCAGAGGAAAAATGGGATAGACTCTGTTTATCTAGGAACAGGCCACACAATGCTGCATTACAGTTAAACAGGTACAATCCCTCCCAAGTGACTCCTAATTAACCTCCTGTACTCATTTCTATTTTACAAATTTCTCTGCACTAATGAAATCTCTGCAAACGGTTATGTAATTTTCAATTTCTTTGTTTACCTTCAATTTGTCTTTCTCTGCCTGGGGAAGCTGTGGAAAAAAGATACCGGATGTAATGTATTTTTCTCCACAGGATAAGATTCCTGTGGTCTTGAGGTACAAATTCTATATCACTAGACCTCTCATGGAAATAATACCATCCCAATAGGGGTAAATCCGGGGACATTTCTGGGGATGGTGCCAGCTAGGGATAAAGCAGCAAATACAGAGACTGTTCCTGGAAAACTGGGGCATCTGGTTTCTCAAGCTAAAAGTGCCTTCTCTGATATTCAGACCTCTGTCTTATCCCTCCTGTTAAGAGTTCTATTGGCTTCTGAGATAAGCCTGCATGGGACAATTCTCATAAATGAAGATGTCTACTGTACACTCACAATATTTGTTTGGTGCCCTTTTAAATCATGAGATCCTAAATACTTTACTTGTTAAATCAAGTACTTTTTTCCCCCCAAAACAACTTCAAAGGCAGTATCAATAATATTAAACCTGTTTTTGTTTCCTTGTGCTCCCTTTAGGAGAGGAGGCACTGACCATGTACCTGGCCAAAAACAAGCTGGACAGGAAGCTTATCAATGCTACTCAGAACGTGGAAGCCCTTCATCAGCTGGCCTCGTCCTACTTCATCGACCGTGACGGGACGATGAGGAAGCTGCATGAGATCCAAATTTCCACCAATGCCATCAAGGTTTGTGCATATTGAAGATGTGCGATCAAATACAGTTGAGATTACTGACAAATACTATTTTGACAGCTGGATTTTTTTGTTTTTGTTTACCATAATACATTTTTTGTTTACCATAATACATTTTATTACAATTAATTTCTTTTTTTAGTATTCTTTGCTATTTCACCTTAATTTGACAGAGAACTGAAGACACACAACAACACAAGAGCACTTTGTGAGTGGCCTATAAGAAAACCCTTATGAGTTGTTACTGATCTGGTTGGATCAGGTTATTGACAACCAAAACAACATGTTTAAATCTAAGCCAGAATATCCTGTCTGGAAAACAAAAACATGGTTTGCCGTCCTCCGCATAAACCATGTGATTTCACAGTCACATAAACACCTTACTCTCACTTCCTCCAGAGACAGATGGCGGACTGTGTAATACAAATAAATGTAACTGAAAAACTAAAATATCTAGAAAATACATCTAAATGAGATAACATCAGCATAAGCTGTGCGGTAGCTTTATACAGATAAGCTAGTTTTAATACACAAGCTTACATAATTAACATATTGCACAAAGGTACTTATAAAGAGGAGTAGGTGTTCACAAAAAGAAACCACCACAGTGTGAGTGAGTGCAGGATGGGAGCCGATTTAATGTAACTGAAATAGCGGTCGTCCGATTCTAATCACATACTTCCTGTATGCATAATCATTACATTTCAGGGTCAGATGAGCACGGTTTTAAACTGAACAAATATAAATGTTACCAAGCTGCTTAAAATAGGTTTTCCATAAATGTAAAAAACAGGGTCAGGGTACAAAGATTTTGCCTTTTGAAAAAATTTGAAGCTGAAGATAGTCACCTCTTTCTGGCTGCCTGTTGTTCAGATTGTGTGAGTGCACCGCCTGCAACTGCTTGCCGGCTCTGGTCATTCACATGCTCATTCATCCAGGGACATAGAGGAGACATGGCTGGTGAAAGCAACTGTGAAGTAGACATTATATCAAGTTAAACCATCAGATCAGAGTTTAAAAAAAAACCTTTCTCCTGAGCAATTTTCAGTAGGTAGCCCAAATGTTTATTCTAGTCTCAGGCTAAAAGGGAGGTGGCTTGGATAATAATCAACATGAGAGCGGTATTTTCCCAGAAATTGCGCTTAATATTGGTATACAAATATTTAACATGAATATATCCGTATACCAATAAATAAATAAATAAACTAGTTTGCAAAGCAATACATACCCAGAAACTACAAAAATAAAGTCAGAGCCAACCTGAACATGCAACATGGCTTGAGGAATGTCTGAAGATTTAAACTTGATTAACAAGTCTGCAGTTCAGCAGCATAGACTGTTTGCTCCCAGTATAGCTGTGTGGACCCGGATAACCCAGAGGAACCAAGCGTTGATTACCCAAATGCATCAGTGTATTTCGAAAATGTATTCCACCCAAGTGTGTTCACTTATAAGTAAATAAGCACAATACATCACATCACAGATAAAGAAAAAGGGCTGTGTCTACAAGTGTATTTGGAGAAAAAACAAAACAATTATGCAAATGTCATTCAGCCTCTCTTTTAACATTTGCAATCCTGACTACAATGCGTTTGTGTGCCCTTCTGCTACAATAAAACAACTACTGCACTGGGGATGAAAGAATGGGAAACATACCACTTTATCAACTAATTTATATATTTTCAAATGAGTAGGTGGGAGAGAATGCACACACAGTTGAAGCCTCAGTAGCAGAGAAGTACTGTGTTGATATGGAAACAGGGTCAGAAATCCTCAGCTAACAAAGCCTGCAGGTTGTGTTGTAGGTGTTACCTGCCACAGTCAAATTGTGAAATTGAGTGAGTTAGCTCGTGTTAATTTCAAGCTCTGTTGAGCATAATTATTTAGACTTCTCTGGGTTTTTTTCTGGGTCTGAAATAACACATTGCTTAGCAGATAGCAGTTTGGAAAATAGGCTGCACCTTGTAGAACTTGGAATGTCACATGATTGTATATACCTTAATCCTTAACACGTGTTTCTTTAATATTCAAATCAGATTTACTAAGAGATTTAGCTATTTGGGATTATTTGAAGAGACATGTGGTTTAAGGATTTGTTTTTTATTTATCTGGGGACTCCTGATAGTGTGGGTTCCAATAAAGCACCATTTATACTGCTGATTAACTAGTTGAATCACATATTTAGAGCCTTAAAAATGCAATTTTACAATAAAAGTATATCAACAAGGGTAAAGATGCAATTAATCCCACTATTAGCATCACCATCCATTTTAATCTGACTATGGCAACGATGCCAGTAAAGTCTCATTTGAGGCTTAGATTAATGGGTTGTATTATTCAACCACAACGGTATGAATTGCTGTTTGAAGTTCTTATATTCCATTTGAGTGAATTCAGATGTCTTGGGACTACAGAAATTATAACTTTAAATGTTACTAATTTGAGAAAAAAATCCCTCAGCAAAATGCCTGAACCGAAATCTAATCCATTGGGGCGAGCTTTTTAAAATCATACTCATTCAGCACTATAGGCGGTTGCAGAATAAGCAACCAATATGTTTGCTTATTGTATTGATGTCTACAAAAACTGCTAGTTTTTCTCATAGCAGATCAGCAGTAGTGTTGGCAACCTAGAGGCATAATTAGACACAGACGGAATATAGAGATCCATGAAAACTAATAAAACATATCACTCCTCTCTACATCACCAAACCTCTTCAGGACTGCCCATTCTGCCAATCCTCTTTCCATGTCTTCATCCCAAGCAACAGCTGCACGCCTTATGCCCGTCTCGCCTGTGGGTCTGGCTAAAGTAGCATTGAGTAAATGCATTTTTAATTCCATTCAGCTATAACATGCCGGAGAACAGAACCATCGCTTAAATGTCGCAACCTCTTTATTCATAACCTTGGCTATTATCATACAAGACATTGCTTACATGGATTAAATATGTGCTTTTTATGGGCATATTCTTGGAATATGGTTGACATTTTTTACATAACGTTGAAACCCCTGCAGCTGATGCCATGCACCTGCACCTGCGCACCTGCAGAAAAACAACCCTCCAATCTTACCCTCCCATGCACCCACCAATGCTCCACTTCCTTGTCTTAATTCAAGGAGTACCTTCCTAGCTTTTTGTCGTTGTGAGTGACAAGCGGATTAAGGGGCTCTGGCAGATGAGACTCCAGGTAGCAGGAAGTCAACCATGACAAAATTAAGCACACCTGACAGTCGCTGCTGAGTCAGTATCTGAGGAAAGCAAGGCAGGAGGTGTTGAGAGGACAGAGTATCCATACAGCACACTCACATACACATACACAAGGACACACACGTGCACAAAGTTAGTCCAAAGCAGAGTGGACTGCATGTCCGCTTATCTAGACCGATGGACCTGAAGCATATGTCAAGAGGTGACCCTTTGTCTGAGTTTGGTAAAAGGGCTAGGGGTGAATCGGTGATAAAGTACATGTATTCAAGTTAGTTTATGATTTAGACTACATCTATCGAGTGTAGCACCCTCCTAAGGTTAGTAATGACTTGTTTGAGATTGAAGATGACTCCTAACAGGAGGAAATAGGTTTGCTCTATTAAGTACTACAAACATGGCCCTGTACACATAGGGTATAAATTAGGGATAGTGCTAATGACGGAGCGCTCTGTATTCTTAGTATATATTTGCATTCATTCTATGCCCTATGTAAAATGTAGTAGTTTTTTTCAGTTTATATTGTGCTTACATGATGCATATTTCTAGATACATTTGACATTTAACATAATGCAAACTATGGAGCCATTATTGACAGGTGAATATGAATATGTTTATTTTTACAAACCCATCAAATGCTCAATATGAAATGTCCCTGTTCACAATGCCTCAGTTCATTTTTCTCGACTATGGGATGAATCGTAATGTGGAAAATACAGTTAACGATGAAATGGGAAGAATACATTGTTGAGGAATTATCAGATGATTGAGTTGGCCTAGCCTTCAGTAATGGGCAATCACATTTAGTCTTCTCATCTCATTTAAAAGCAGCAGACAGTTTCCTAATAGCCTGGGCACCTTCTCTCAAAAGAAAACTGTCGCCTGTCTTCAACGCTATAATTTGCATTTCATAAAACTTGAGAGCTATATGCATGGCTATCAGTTAGTATTTTGATGTGCATAAAGGAAGATTCTGCAAAGGTCGGTACTACTGTAGATGATTTTCAGGAACGCATATTACCACATAATTATGCAGCACATTATAAATATATTACATTTTTTTAAATGACAGGTCCATAGTACATCTGCACCTACTGTGTAATCATGATGTATTCAGATAGCACCATTGTGATAATTGTAATAACATTAAACATTGCCAAGATTAAAGTCGGAAGCATTTCAATCTGCAAAATGTGCTGCGAGTGTTATAATACAATAATAAATACATTGAATTCGGTTACATGTTTGTAAATATTCTTTAAAAATCTCCATGACTGTCAACCAAAAATGGACAAGGCTGGACTTTATCGTAGCCATCGTCTATAAATAAAGGCAGCCTAAATTGCAGTTCTCCAGTCACGTCGACAGCAGACAGACAGTGATCAGAATGTGCAGAGGAAGCAGAGTCCAGCAGAAGGAACAGATCTATAAACACAGAGAACAAGGGCTTTGCTCCTCCAATATTGATTCAGTATGGCTGTGAGACCTGCTTTGGAGTGCAAACTTACAATCAGGATAAAAAACATGTGTCAATAGAGCCTAAATGTTTCAGACATTTCCTGTCTGCAAGTAAGCAGGTTTGAAGTCGTGTCTATTTTGTTCCAATGGAACATATTGTGTGGCAAGTGCAATGTTGGCCTCATGATAAGTTCATTTACCAGCTTTCTAACACTTTGTATGTGTTCAGCCACTTGGTTTGTGTTTTGCAGACAAAATGTTAAAACACACACATGCTTCATTGACTTGTCTTTAAATCATGATGAAGAACAAAAATAATCTTCAATTCA